CTGAATCTGACTATATCGCCAATACCACCAGCAGCTGTTCCGTAATTCTTCAGTCTTCGATATCAAAGGCTGGCCGTGAGTATTCGGGAAAAAACATGGCCGCCTTTATACACGTCGCATTGAATATTTTGAGCCTTCTGATTGGTTAACCCTTCTATTGATGAACTATAAAATGAGTCAGCTCATTTTGGCTGGCTCACTAGTACACCAGGGTACCCCAAAATTCCAACACTGTGAGTGTCAGATTTTCCAAACCCTCCTTCCTCATCATGTGCACTAGAAATTTCAACCGTCTCTTCTTGATGCTAAGTATAATTTTCCATTTTGTTTTCATTTTTTTTTTAAACCTCGACGTTGCTCACATGGTATCCTCAGCATCCTTCTATAGAACAACATTTCTGTTGCTCCAAGTCTCTTCCTCATCTTTGACGAGATTGTCCGGCATTCACTGCCATATAGGAAGCCAGACACCACGTAACAGTTCAGTACTATTTTGTTTGTTTCTAATTAAGTTATTCTCTCTTTTAATATTCTGCTTAGCTTTTAGAATTCATTTTTGGTTATCCAAATGCATCTTCGGATTTCAGTGTCACATTATCCCTCATCTCTGAGAACGCTTCGAGTTAATTTTTTATATCTTTCTGGTAAAACTCAATTATTTTCCCAACACGTTGGCATTTCGTATTGATATTTAATCAGTTTATCTAAGTAGGGCACAAGAACCACAACCTCGAGCAATTTAGTAATAGTTAAAAACTATTACAGTTATATTGGTTTGTGAAAGTAAAAAACAACTTAGAGCCAGGGGCATTGATAAAGTATATCAGGCCGTTTAACTTGGTCGAACACAAAAGATGCTCAGTATCCTTCTGTAGTTAAGTTTCCGGCAACGCTAACTTCCTATCATTTGATCCCAATGGATATTAGGAAATCAAACACTTTGGGTCAAAACACTGGCAGTTTGTTTCATGAACAAAAGATATCTTTGGATAATCGCCCCCACACCAAGACTTTTTTAAAAAACGAAATAATTTTATGTGTTGAGAGAAATTTACTGGAGATAGCATGAACTGACGTAAAAATTCGCAGGCGAAAATTTGGGCGGTAAAATAACGAATGTGACAAGAGAAAATATTATCTTTTATACAGTGACCCTGAGGTCGGAAATGACATTTCCTGGCATTTATATAAACACACACACACACTGAAACAAACGCACACATTGCATACACAAGCGCGCATACAAATGAAATAAAGAACAGATGGAGTAAAAATCCACTGTTCATAGCATGTCGCTGACATTTTCCCCAATCGTCTTTGTTCCGGTTTATCGTGACATGAAAAAATAACTAACCCACCTACACCCTCTGAGTTTATTTGTCTATTTAGCGTAGATATGACATTTAATTGGTTAATCAAGACATACCCACAAGTCTACTTTTAATTCTGACCCTATACTCCCACTTTAACTTTCGGAAAAGAAGTAAAATGTTGTTTTTAAATTTCCTTAAAAAATCATTTAATCACCAGTTATTTACCAGCGCCTGAAAAAGTATTATCATAGTATTGAAACGTGAAAGCTTTTGTGTAGCGATTCCAACATGTTTTTATTATAATTTATTAAAATAAAAATAAAATAAATCGATGTCAAATACAATATGTACCAAACAATACTTACAAATGTAAAATAAAATAAGAATTATACTGAAACTAAATTAGAATACTATTATTCTTTGTTTAAAACAATTTTTTGTGAAAAACTACATACAGATCCTGTAGATTGCATATTTTATCGAATAAAAACAAGTTAGTGAGTCTGCGCAGTAGGCACAATATAGGTATTTCCGTTTCCTTTTAGAATCGTAATGATCGGATATTTTGATATCTTCAATTATCTTGAATAAGTGTAGGAAACGCTGGCCGTAACGAAATTGGAGAGGTACAATTATAGGGTTTGATTACCAAACAAGGGGTGTGTATTATGCGTGAGTAGAAGCATTTTCCCCACACTTTCTGCACAATTTTAGGTGTGCGTACTATGGATGAAGACGAATTATACATGGGGAATTACGGTAGTTTAGTGTTTTTTTTTTAATATTAGACATTTTGTGGGAGAATAATTATTCCATGCTGTTATACGATTTAGAGAATTATGCTGTCACACCGATATATATATATATATATATATATATATATATATATATATATAGATAGATAGATAGATAGATAGATAGATAGATAGTAACTTGTGGCATGTTCGCTTATTGCCATTGTGTAATACTATTATTATAAGAGCGGAACATCTCATTGCTAAAAGAGTGGGCATAGGCATTCAAAGTGAAAATTTTCTTTCCAGTGTAATTATTCTGTTTCTTAATACTTTGTTTAACTTTTGTAAGGCATCTTTCGTTATCCCAATGCGTCTTCGTATTTCGGTGCTGCTTTTCCTTCTTTATTAAAACACTTCCTATGTAGATTTGGACGTTTTTCATTTGCATTGTTTCGCTCTGACAGCATTTTCCACAACCGAAAAGTAAAGATAATTTTGACTATTTCGGATATTTTAGAGCAAACATTATTCTTTAGGTCAATCCGGGAATAAGTATCAGTAGCAGTTATTTGGAACAAGGATGAACTTCCATTAAAAGGAAAAAGGGTGTTTTTTTTCGCTTTCAGGAAGATGATGACCGAAATTAAGTGTGGGAGTGACAAGTGCGTCGTTGTTGTTGTTGTTACTGTTGGGGGTGGGAGGGGGGATTTCCTCTGAAGCTCAGAGAAGAGAGTCGACGAGTGACTTATTGCGATATCTGCCATCATTTCCGAGCGAAAGTTTGGGTGTGTTTCTGGTCGACTTTTACAGCAAGAAATGCTGTCATAAAAACGCATCGAAAACAAATACTTTATTCTTTTTTTTTTTTTAATTTTTTATTTGGTGATTTAGAGTTTTGTAAATTAAAGTTTATTGTTTTATATTTACTTAATATATGTTTGCTTTTGGGGTTTTAATTCATATTTCATGAAATAACAACGATATATGACTATACATCTAGATTTATTTTCCTCCTCCGAAATAAGAACTTTCAATAGCTCTTGATACACCGGCAAGGAAGGAGATTATGTTCCAAAATAAAGAGCTTTGTGAAAAGTAAATATTGCTCTACGGACTACGCACTTAATCAAACATACTGGTGGTATTAGTTGACTTTGTGGTACAGTTTATTCTGTAATTAATTTATACAAGAGAAATTCACACATACAAGAGAGAGAGAGAGAGAGAGAGAGAGAGAGAGAGAGAGAGAGAGAGAGAGAGACTCGACAAAATGTCTTCCACTGACATTACCATACAGTCAATGCCCCCCCCCCTGCTCTTCCACGTAAGAATTGGTCTACTTAATCATCAACGCTGCCATCATAAAGGAATCGAGAAGAAATTTAATTCTTGGATACGAAATAAAACCGACGACACAACTATATATATATATATATATATATATATATATATATATATATATATATATATATATATATATATAATGTTTCAATACTATGATTGTACTTCCTCAGGCGATGGTAGGTAAAATGATGTCATCGCCTGAGGAAGTACAATCATAGTATTGGAGCATGAAAGCCTTTTGTGTGGCGATTTAAAAATGGCTTTATAATAAGAATAATATAAAAAATAATATTTTGCTCTACTTTGTATTTAGCACTTTTTAAAAAAAGTAAATGCATGGAGCTATGGATTTTGTTATTTCTCTCATTTGGATACAGATATATATATATATATATATATATATATATATATATATATATATATATATATATATATATATATATATATATATAACTATGAACCTAAAGAGCCAGGCAAACCTACACAAGTTTCACCTACGCGGATTGTCAGCCAAAACACCTAAGGTTTTTCCAGGGGAGTATAATTACTTATATTTATAAGTTTATATATATAAAAATTTTGGAAAATTAATATACAACTGAGTAGTGAGTTCGATTCTCACTGGGTGCCCCCTACTTTCAGCCTTGTGCCACGTCTAAGCTACGCTTGGCAAATCACTATATATATATATATATATATATATATGTGTGTGTGTGTGTGTGTGTGTGTGTGTGTGTGTGTGTGTGTGTATTGCTTAAAATCTTCTACATATTTCTCCTAAAATAAATATAAATATATAAAGATCTTGCGATGATGTATGTATTTCTATAATTGTTCTTGAGAGTGATTGTGAAGTGGTTTCCCGTTGTCTTCTATATATGGAGGACTTGAAAAATAAGGGTCTGTAACTGTATGCATATTTATTAAGTTTAGATCTATACGATAAAAGGACAGATTGCATGAAGAATAAAATGGTGGCGTCGTAGGGAAATATTATTACACCATTCCCCTTGTCTAAGCGCAGATATTTAGCTTTTCTTGAAAATTACCATCCGACATTATGGTTCGTTACTTTAGTTTAGCGACATATCAACACCTCTATGGTTTATTTAATGCCGAAATCTAAATATTCTGAACATAGCTTTAACTACAGATAAAATGTATTGTTGGTCATTTTGCTGTAAAATTTAGTGGTATTTCTGCTATAGATATGTACCGTTCGTAATTTTTTTATATAAAAATGTATTGCTGGTATGTTTAATATAATAATGTATTTCTATACATTCAAAGTGTTTGTGGGTTAACCATTTGCCCATAGCTGGGACCCTAACAGGTGCTACCACCCTGAATCAGGGTTGATTTGGTAACAACAGCAATTAAGATGTGGTTCCACACTATTCAAAACCTTCATTCTCCCGATCAGAGGCCTTGCTGTCGGATACAACATTCTGGATTTTTGTGTTCCACCTGGGTTCAAAAACAGTTAAAAAGTACAGGGAAGAAAAGTAAATTTAACCAATCAAACACACTAATTACTGGTAATTAGAAACTTTAACCTAGTACGATACAAGGTAAAAAAGTGTTGAGTACCCAGTGAGAATCAGCTTACAGTCATAACATGGTAAAACACCAGTTCCCGTACGATTACCGAAGTTAAGCAACGTCGAGCCTGGTCAGTACGTAAATGGATGACTGCTCGGAATATCAGGTGGTGTAAGCTTGCGTGTGCGGCTGGTGTACTGGATAATGATTCAGATATTGTTAATTAGAAAATCGGGTTTTTTACCTTGTATCGTACTAGGTTAAACTTTCTAATTACCAGTTTCAGTTCCAGTTGGGTTCGTTATATTCACCCACGCGTAAATACCCTTGGAGATGGTATGAATCCACCTCTTCTCCCCTAGCTATGGGTTAATTAGTAAAACTGGTTTCACTAAAACATTATCACCTCCGAAAATAAAATAAAATTGCGTAAAAAATATTTAGACTGCAGCATTAAATAACCCATATATGTATTGATATGCCGGAAAACAAAAACAAGCAACCAACCTAGTGAGAATCAAACTCATTTCAGTAGTAACTGTGCACAAGGTTAGCTTACTAAATATTATTAAACAATAAAAGAAATTTAACGTGTATACTGCCTAGCTTAGTACGGTAAATGGTGGCAGAAATGGCGCACATGGCGTGGACTGGGCTTATTACGAAAAGAACTTCTTAACTAGCCCGCCATGGTCGGTGTCATTGTATTCTTTATAGGTTTCTGTATGTGTAAATAGACTTTACACTTTGGCAGTACATAACGTGAATCATGTGCGAGTGAGTAAGAGGCTGTGGCGTAAGAAGCTCTTTGTTGTTGATTCCAGTAACCTTGTGATTAAAATAACTGGCTTCATTCACAGTACAACGCTGAGAACGCGTCAAAACAAAGTCGAACAGAAATATCTTTCGAAATATGGAATAAGGTTAACCCAAAAAGAATGAGATCGATTCCACAATATAAAATGTATTTCCTGTAGAAAATCTCGAAAATTTTATATAATAAAATGGATAGGGGTACGGTCAATGGGTCAGATAAATAAATAAAAAATAAAAAAATAAAAAAAGTCACTGACATTCAGAGAACTTAAAACGATTGCTTGGTTACTTATTTTAGTGCATCATTCTACTTATAATTATTGCCACTTGACAGAAACAACAGACAGTGCTTATTTTAAACAAATTAATCGTAAATAATCACCAGTGCTTTTTTATAGTTATCTGTTGTTTATATCAATAAAACAAATGTCTGCTTTTTTTTTCATTTAAGTAAGTAATGAAGTAATCGTGGTAAGTGACGCAGTTACTCGAAATAAGTACTGCTTAATTTGTTATGATTCAAGAATAGAAATTGAAAAGGAAATACTAAAATAATTTATCGGTAACTAGAATGAAAATCTGAGAATTCGAATGATAAACATTCCGAATTAGAAAGACAAGTTCAAAATTGAAATGATAGATAAACTCAAAGCTAGTCTGTGTGTGTGTGTGTGTGTGTGTGTGTGTGTGTGTGTGTGTGTGTGTGTGTGTGATGTACGTATGAGAGTGAGTTAGCATTTAGTTTATAGGTAATGGGCCATGTACCCATGAAGCAAATTATTTTTGTGTTGCCTCCATCTAATTTTTAAAATTATTCTTCGTTGAGCCTATGTATATCCTATCAGTGTTAGTGCTATCCTTCAACAATATTCAAAATAGAAATCAGACATCTCTATCCCAATATTTCTGGCATCTAAAAGAAAGGAATAAAACACCAAAGGTAAAATGGAAAATAGTAAATAAAACAAGAACTTGTAAAACCTGGGATGACCCATGCCCTTTATGCCTACACGAAAAACTACACATCATTAAATTTCTAAATAATGAAAAATTATTAAACCATAGGCAGGAGTTAACGCTTTTTTGCCGACATCAACAAACTTTCGCATTAAATAATTAGCATAAAAAAAATCCCATAGCTTAATAAAAGTCTTAAAAGCTTAGCCAAATCATTAAATAGGAAAAACCCTTTCTGTAGTCGTCAAAAAACAAAAAAAACAAAAAAAAACAAATTGAAATATATAAAACACCCACTTGAATAAACAAATAAATAAATAGATAATCAGATTGACAATAATAAAAGACAATTCTCCAGACACATAACGACTTGTAGGCGCGCCATAAAAATATCTCGCACTGGGAACCAACTAAAGGATGACCGCCAACATTAGCCTTGAAATAGATACCCTACCCAACCTTAGAAAAACCTCTCAGAAGATGATGAATCTATAGATAAGAATTAACTCTCTGACTACTTAACGAAGAAAAATGGCCTGGCCACTCCCACAATAAGGAATATATATATCAGCACATTATGAACGACCAAAGTACAACTAAGAACACAAGATAAATTCTAATGGATAACGCAAGAATACTCTACAGCACCCAATTGAGATAAAGGCTCAAAATTATTGAAGCGCTTATTATACAAAATAAGCACCCGACATTTAATAAAATATATTTCACCACAGGAGAAAGAATCTTGAAATGCATATGATAAAATCAATGTGCACACATATTTTATCAGTATTTTAAAATATAAAAGTAAAATAAAATAAATAAATTTCATTCATTTTGTCTGGCCTCATTCCCAATGACCCTTACATATGACGTCACGCTAGTCCACTTCAAATGTCCAGCTTCTCAAAGAATACGAGGATGCAGATAAAGGAATTCTAACACACAGACAACACATCGGTTCTTGATAATGACTGTGAAAGTCGACAGATGCTGAACAAAATTACAAAATATGAACTCCGAGCAGTTTATCCACATCTTTGAGCACAATACTCAACACCTTATCCGAAAACTGGAAAAAATATTTATAAAAATTTAACAGACACCTTATCTGTTCTTTTCAATCAAACTTGTTTACATATATATATATATATATATATATATATATATATATATATATATATATATATTGACTACTAATATTATCTATCTATCTATCTATATCTATCTATCTATCTATCTATCTATCTATGTGTGTGTGTGTGTGTGTGTGAAAATATAAAGAAAATAGGAAAGAACTCGTTAGGTAAACAATCCGAAGTTCTTTAGTATTTTTTTTTTTATTTTAAAAAACACTGCTCGATACAAAAGTAGAGCCTAAATATAAACATCTCTTGAAAATGAATAATAATTATATATATATATATATATATATATATATATATATATATATATATATATGTACATATATTATAATTATTATTCATTTTCAAGAGATGTTGAAGAATTATTCAGTATCGCTTGAAAATTAAACTGAACTTCGAATTTAAAGTTTAATTTAAGATTTATTTAGGTTTTGGTTTCGAAACATGGTAATTTCTTGGTTTTACTGAATACATATTTTTAAATAATGATTATAATATTATGCTCTACTGTGTATCGAGCACTGTTTTTAAAAATAAATGCTAAAGAACTCTGGATTATAAATCTGACTGTTCTTTATTTTATATATATATATATATATATATATATATGTATGATGAAAATATAGTTTAAATCATGCTCAATATCAAGCATATAGCGGATGTAAATATAAAAGTTGGTACTGAGGAGAATGTTGCTATGTCTTCCTCTAGGAATTGCTAGGCAGTGATTTTTTAAAAAACTTCTGATGGTGTCAATAGTTCCTGAAATCATCATAGTATGGCTCTTAGAGAGGATCGAAATCGGTGTAACAGTTTTGTTCGGGATTCAACGCAATCTTCAAGCAATGCATGTTGTAGTTCACACACGGCCAACATTAAAACATGAAGGAAACTGTCTTTTGAGAATGTTATCTTTTAATGCTGTTAAAAGCGTCCCTTTTATGACACAAAGCAAATACTAACCACTGATTATACTTTATTCGTGCAAGAGATGCCATTTAACCTACTTGAACCTTCTTGACCCGCATTTGCAAAGTTTTTTTTGGTTTTAACATATTACATCAGAACTGTGTGCAAATGTGAAGCAAACAAACAACGAAAAGAGAATGACGAATGTGCATGGTATAATCTTAAAATTGTATTGCGAAAGGATTGAAAAAAAAGTGAGGTTTATTATAATTTCATGAACGGTTGGTCTGTGTCTTGATCTCTTTCGGTAAAAACATGTCAACCCCAGCCTGTAGAGTTCTATGTATTTGAGATGGGGTGCTGAAAATTTATTGGCACTGAAAAGTCATTGGTCAGACCAAGAAGCACTACTAAAAAGTTTTAGATAAGGTGATCAGGTTTTCAAAGTAGTTCGGACAGGTAATTTTTCAACATACCCACGTATCTATCTATCTATCTATCTATCTATCTATCTATGACAGTAGGTTCTTTATCTATCTATCTATCTATCTATCTATGACAGTAGGTTCTTTAACTATCTATCTATCTATCTATCTATCTATCTATGACAGTAGGTTCTTTATCTATCTATCTATCTATCTATCTATGGCAGTAGGTTCTTTATCTATCTATCTATCTATCTATCTATCTATGGCAGTAAGTTCTTTATCTATCTATCTATCTATGGCAGTAAGTTCTTTATCTATCTATCTATCTATCTATCTATCTATCTATCTATCTATCTATCTATCTATCTATCTATGACAGTAAGTTCTTTATCTATCTATCTATCTATCTATCTATCTATCTATCTATCTATTCAATAAAAATAAAATGAAGTATAAAAAATAAAAGTAAATCTTCGGTTTACGGCCATATCACATAGAAACACCGATCTTCGCTCGGTCACCGAAGTTAAGCAACGTTGAGCCTAATCAGTACCTAGATGGGGTACCACTTGGAAATACCAGGTGCTGTAATAAGCTTGGATGTGCGGGTGGTGTAATGGACAATGGTTCAGAATTGGAAATCGGAGGAGCCGATTTCTAATTCTCGTCGGATACGTTATATTCACTTACGCGCAAATGCTTTTGGGTAAGTTATGGATCCACCTTATCTCCTCCCAGCCATAGGTTAATTTGTAGAACTTGTATTACCAAAATTATTATTATCAAAAAAAAAATAAATAAATAAAATAATAATAATAATAATAATATTTCAGCACATCTTCATCCCCACAAAAAACGAAGTGTCAAAAAGACGGCTTTACCTTTGACGCCGTTATTATTTTAACTACCTTCACTCGTTGGCAATGTCTTTTGTTTTGAAAAGCAATGAGTAGAATAGTAATAAAACCTAAACATATGAAAGTGAATTTATATATTTTCTTTGTTCTTTAGAATTGACAACAAACATAATAAATACTATTTTTATTAGATTGTTTATCTACAATATTTACTTATTAGATTTTTATTGGAATGGGTGGCAATCGATTCTAATTTAAATATATAAAGAGTAAATAATAAGGATTCCCTTATAGTTGTTTCACGTTTTTTAAAAATTCAGTAAAACACACACACACACACACACACACACACACACACACACACACACACACACATATATATATATATATAAATTAAAAATGGCTTTCTTTGTAAATTGGGAAATGATAAATATTGCATTGCATTAGTTTTAATACAGTTGTATTAGTGTTTAGAATGTTTTAAATATAAAATTATCTTTGTAAATAATATGTTTAGGTTTCTCTACAATTCTAATAATCGCTTTTTAAAAACAATAAACATTGCCGAGGATGGAAGGCAGTTAAAATAATAGTGGCGTCAAAGGAAAAACCTTCCTTTTGTGCAGCCAGAAAGGTCCAAGTTTGCCAAACAATTTTTACAACCTGAAAATATTTTGTTTTGAAAAAGTACGAAACGGTGGAGAAATGTTCTTTGATTGGCCGACTCCCCAAAATCAATATAGAAGCTTCTTCGTACCCGAGATGGTTAAAGCACGTCGGATCTAAGACGTCTTTCCTCTACCGAGGGAGACGCAGGTTCGAATCCTGCTGGTGAGTGCATATTTTTCCCCAGTAAAATTTCTCGCATATTCAGGCTGGTAGACGAAAATAAATAAACATTATGTTTGATAAATAGACGGGGCGTCTACTGAAATATGAGTGTCCACTAAAAATAACGTTTAAACTGATAAAATATAAGTACACGTACACATATACTCACAGTGTCATGGTCGGACGTCACTTAAATAAGCTATTTCTTACATAGCTTCCACGAATGTTTCCTTGAATCCGTTCGTTGTTACAAATGCCAGTCAGACGACGACAGCCGTGCTAACGCGGCCAAAAGAAGAAAAAAATAGAACAAAATTTAAAACACACACAACAACGCCCCCAGACCACGTTAACGCAAGCAGATACCTTGCCCAGTGTTCAGCTGTGTCATGACCAGGTGAATTTCAGATACTAACACCTGGATGGGATTACAGACGTGACTAACGAAGGAATAGGAAACAGCAAGTAAGTGGAGTGCTACACCGGTTGTATAAAAAGCGTAGGAGTTCCAGACGAATTAGTCGAGGTAGTGTTGATTGTTGTCGGAAATAGAGAGTGAGGGGTAGTCGGTGTGATGTTGTTAAACCTGTTTGATACGTTGAGAAGTTAGAGGAAAAGTGAGATAGATATCTTTTTTTCGATATACTCAATGAAGAAAAATACACTGATATATCATAATAGAGTCATTTCGTTTTACCCTTTTTTTTTTTAATACAAGACGTAAAGAATCATGATTCTTCACAAATACCCTTTTCTTTATTTTCTGTAAATTACCAGGATTCTTGGGAAAGATAGCGAAATGGTTTTCCACTGCCTATCCCACTGTATCGAATTCCAAGTTTTCCTCCTCTTAGACTGCAATATTATTATTATTTAGGAATTGTCTTAACTTCTTGAGAAAGAAACTGGAGTGGTTTTCTGTTACCGTCTCTACGGCTTCGAGTTTTCTTTCTTCCAGACTTCGTGCCACCGAAGGCATGAACTTAAAAGAAGAAAATACAGAACAATATCAAGTTTTATATATATATAAGTATAGTTATTAAATAAATATGTAGCATTTTTTGACAGTACAGGTAAAATTCATATATATACGATAACTTATCTACACTCATAAATGTTTATAAATAAATAAATTCACCTATGTATTTGTATATAGACATTGTTCCAGTCATGTGTGAAGCAAAACATACAACTATTACAATCACAAAACAGTTCGGTATTTTTGTAATTGTAAACAGACACATCTATAGGCTGACTTCAACAAAATAAATGTTTAGAAACTAGTCTTTGTTAGTGATTTTATAATTGAGGCCTCTGTATACAAACATAATCCACTGCGGTGCAATGTTGCTTAACCAAATTGCTCATTTTTTTTCCCATGTCATATCTATTCAGGATGTTAGCAATCATGATTTCCCACGGACTCTTTTTTTCTTTATTATCTGCGAATTGACACAATTCTTGGGGGGGGGGGGAGATGAAGTGGTTTCACATTGCCTGGTGTTAGCGGCGTGCGGCAAACTTCGGAAAGTGTCCGAAAATCATGCCACAGTTTGACACAAGTCTTCTGAATGAAAATGGGTAGACTGTACTGTGCAGTCGAGGGCTTTGCTAGCTCAAAGTCACAAGTCATCGTGACTGAGGGTTTAAGCGTTCTGGCCTTGTTCAAACTATTGATCGCGCCAGACTATGCGCTCTCTCCCAGAAACTGTAACGACGATCTGTTCAGCATAGTTTCAGTATAAACCACAGGTAGGCTCTGTAGATGTTGAGCCGATGTGCCTGAGTAGGCGTTTGCAATTGGGATTGGCTAGCCTCTCTATCAGACGTATGTGTTCAGAAACGTGTAACCGGTTATTAATCTAACACTGAACGAGAACGCATAAAGTGTGCAAACCTATGGCTTACATAATACCAGAATCAATGAATATATTTGCATATTCGTTTACCATCGGCAGCTCTGTAAAGACACCCAGAGCGGGTGGGAGTGCAGTGTAAGTGTTATACCATAATACCTTTTCTATTGTAATAGACTCTCCCACAGATAATAAGTAGTAGTAGCAGTGGCCAGTTGGGCTCAGTTGAGTGAGTCTGTCGGACATTGAAGTATCAACCATCACAACTAGATTGCTGCGTCATTAACTCTTATTTCAAGTTCCTAATGTTTTGTACGTCGAACCTTATTTAGGACGACTTATTGAAATACAAGCCTCCACTGTGAAAACTATTCTACAACAGTAAGCTACATAGTTTCAACGAGAATTCGAACTTGCCCCTATACCAACGTTCTATCTTCCAGACAGGTAACCTCTCCGTTTAGAGGAGCCAAGGCCCAAATTGGAGTACTGTCGCCATATTTGGGCGGGAGATGCCCAGTCTTCACTTTCTATTATTAATAGAGTTCAAAAACGCCTCCTTGTCCTTGTTTGAGAAGAATTATTTTCCACCATCCAACCTCTCCCTCACAGGCGGGGTGGGGCGAGCCTCTTACGCCTCAATCGCTACTACCATAAGAAGTGTACAGACGAACTACATTCCTTGATTCTGTCAAGTCTCACCTTCATGGCTAGGACCCGCCATGAGACTTACATTGTCGGAGTTAACTCCTCCTTCAGTCCGTTAACCCTTTCACCAGGGGTCTCTCTTCCCTGGCTATAAATAGCCGCTGACCCTTCGCCTCTATCTCTTTTTCCTTCAGGATTTCAGCTATCAACCTCGAAATGAAGGCGCTAACAAGAGATAGCGTGGAAACACGCTAAGCACAATACACACACACACACACACGCACATACAGAATATTCACACACGCACGCACATACAGAATATTCACACACACTTCGTCCTTTGTACTGTTTCCATGTATTGTAACTTGTTATTAATATATATTTGTATATACATATATTATCGGTCTTGTGTTTTGTTTGCTTTCTTTGCCTTCTTCTTTGGACTTAATCAAAGTCCAACCTTTTTATGGCAGGAGTATCTGAACCTTACATGCGTTTCTTCTACGTCTGACTTCTATCAACAACATAACAGCCACGGCCCTCTACAACACTGTAGCAAACCATCCGTATTCCCGTCGTATTCCATCGACAAGAAGGAGTTCCACTCAAACAGCTTCTTCCCAAGAGGATGTTTCCTCGATCACTACAACCATAACCTGGTCAAATCTAGAGTTAACCGTTATCTTCTCCTATCCATATAAACTACCCCTTAACGTAACCCTCTACGTCTACTGGCCCCCGGGCCTTTTACAGGGTGAAGCTTACTGTAAAAAAAATGGTAACTATCACATCTATTTCCGCATTTGGATTTACATGCGTTTTCTTAAGTGCGATGCCCATTGCCTGTCGAGTAATTTGTCAAAACTTTACCGTTTACGACTCGCTTGTTGTAGCTAAAAAGAACAATTATTTTCTGGTTCCCAGGGTGAAGTTAGCAACGTTCATAGATTAAGGTTCTAGGTCCTAAATGACATGGTATGTATGCGACCAATCCCAGATCTGCCTTGCCCACATCAACACCCAAGTCATTCCTCTCCAACGTAACCTTTTTTTTTTTACACCCCACGCCAATTCAGGGATACACATACCATAACACCCGCTTTCTCCTGCCGAAAGCTATATCTTAGTTTGTTTTTTTTCTTCTTTCAATTTTACTTCCTCCCACTACAATCCATTCCAGACTTAATTGTCGTTCTACAGTTGTTTATTTTAACGTTGCATATCGAAGGTTATAGGAGCAGTGAGTAACCTACTTGACAATTTTAAGCAAATGTCGGGGGGGTAAGTGCAATAACAAAGAAAGAAAGAAAGAAAGAAAGAGCATTACTGACAGAAAGGTAAAAAAAATCTGTGCATAGCCATGATCGACCACGTCTTAAAAGAATGGCAAAGAAAACAAAATGTGAAACAGAGAGAGAAAGAGAGAGTCTAGAAAATAATAATAATAATAATAATAATGAAAATAATAATAATAATAATAATAATGAAAATAATAATAATAATAATAATAATGAAAGTGGGATGTTCCGGCCAGTACTGTCCCAGATATCATTGTGCCACTGAAGTTGATATCTTCTTCTTTTATGTGCCGTGTCTCTTCAGGACATAGGCGATCATGGCCCTCCACGTCTTCCTGTTCCCTGTAGTTCTTAATGTTCTGTCTTTTTATTTCTCCCAAACCCTGTACTACCATGCATTTGCAAAAGCTCATTAAGTAGGTTACGTGCTGCTTTCCTCTGTCCCTCAAACTGTCCTGTGAGTATCAGATTTTCCAAGCACTCTTTCCTCATTACATGCCCCCCCCCAATTTCAACTACCTCTTTTCTGATGTTAATATAAACTGAATAGCTCGTAGTGTCACATATGAATTTTATGAAAGTTTTTAAAACTTTCAGTTATCTGTTTGGATAAGTCTTGTTCTTATGTACATCGTCTTTGTCATGTTGTATTGATAATGTTATAATTTATGAATATGTCCTGAAGATGGTTTATTAGACCGAAACGTCAGACGTTGATATATTAACATTAAAACAGCATAATTGTATATAAGGATTTTTGTTTGTTTTTTTCGTATATATTTTTCTTCATACTGTCGGATCTATATCCATATATTTGGTTATATATATATATATATATATATATATATATATATATATATAACCAAATGTTGTCTTTGATGTATGGTTAACAGCACGTTAGGCCAAATGACGTTTTCCGTATGGGATAGAGGTTCGATTCCTGCCGGAAAACCCATATTTTCTACGAAATTCCTCGTACATTCAGACCGGTATATGTAATTGATACTGTTTAATTAAAAGAAAAAGACAATATACTGAAATAAGTTGCATCCATAAAAATAACGTATAATCAGAAAATATATTAAAATAATATATATATATATATATATATATATATATATTGAATTTCTAAGCGCAGCCTTGATGTGGTACTACTCAGTTGTAATGGTTGTAGCGAAACAAGTTTGGTAAACGTTACACCACGTCGAGGTATATATATATATATATATATATATATATATATACCATTAATGTCGCCTATGCATAATTAGTACATAGATAATTTGCTTTAAACACAAAATACCCTGAAGTCATGCCACATCTTACAATTATGCCGAAATTATTTCTTTGCAATTTGTGCACGTTGAACTTTAGATAACAATCTGGCCTCTGGCTCTGCTCATGGGTGTGGCTCAGCCTAGAAAGAACGGTTTAAATAAAATGATAATAAAAGTTAACGGTGACTATAACGACTGAGTACATATCGGGTACATATTTAGATATATGGTGTTCAATGTCTGATTGTCGAAAATGCTCATACAATGGACAAGGATGATTTTTAAATATGTAACTTTTATATACCGTACCTATGAACACTAATGAGCATGTCCCAATCCTCATAAATACATTGGACACTATTGCAAGTGGGGGGTAATATGCTAAGTAGTTCACTACTAGCAGTGGTTTACCTACTTCACGCCGCTGGCGAGTATTGCATTTTGGTGATGTTATAAAGATTACCAATTCATTTCCAACCTCCGTTTTGCTTATTCCTCATTCAGTAACACTTTCTAGGTTACAATATTAACAGAACGGGATAGATAGATAGATAGATAGATAGATAGATAGATAGATAGATAGATAGATAGATAGATATTAAATGTTATATACCGTACCTATAAACACTAATGACTATGTCCCAATCCTCATAGCAAAACATAAGGAAAATAAAATCTAATATATAAAAAAAAAATCCACATTATAACCAAAAACGTTTGCAGGTTCTCTTTTCTCTTTAAAATATACGCTTTTCTCTGGTTGTAACAAATATAATCCCTTATATATATATATATATATATATATATATATATATATAATCCAGATACGGATATGCAATGTGATAGGTCCTGTTCTGGCATCTCGTCTACAGTCAATTCCTCACAGAAACGGTGTAGATTCCCTTTGTTTTTTCTACAAATTTTTTCATGGCAACTGCTCCGAGGAGCTAATTCCACTGGTACCCCCACTGTAGGAATTTAAACGTGGTTCTCTGGTTGGCATCTCGGTCCCACCCTTTCATTGTCGAAGCTGTTAAATGTAACCGCCTGTTCTACTCCGACAGCTTCTTCTCTCGCACTTCTCGCCAGTGGAACTCCCTGCCTTCTACTTGCTTCTCCGATAGCTATAATTTTCAAATATTCAAATGTAATGTCAATCGACATCTGGTGCCTTGATCCTGACCCCCCCATCCTTCTCGATATCCTTTCCCCAAACACTTCTCTTTACTCTTACTCTCACTCTCTGTAACCCCTTGCGTGCTAGTGGCACTCCAGCCTTGCTTGGGGTGAAATGCTTAATATATATATATATATATATATATATATATATATATATATATATATATATATATGCCCAAGTATAGGATTAGTGTATAAATTCCAATAACCAATAAATACTATTCTGAAAAGAGTGTTCAATACAGAGTAGAGCAAATATAATTTATTCGAAAATTATAACATATAAGCACTACAAAAATAGTCATTTTGTTTCAACACTGCTGGTGTCTTAGTAAGTGATGATGTTGAATGTAGAATAAAGGGTTTTAAAAGATTGAAATCGACCAAACACCTACATTCAAAATCATCATTTGATGAGACACCAGAAGTGTTGAAACAAAATGGCTATTTTTGTAGTGATTTTATAACTTATGTTATAATTTTCGAATAAATTATATATATATATATATATATATATATATGAGAAAGAGAGGGTGAGAGAGAAAACATGGTAATAGTATTATTAGTCATTTATTATTCAGGAAAGATTCGGCATTTATTGTCGGAACAGCCATTGATACTGTCGATTGAAATTCATAGAATGTTTCTCCTAAAAGAATTTTTCAGTATAAATAAGTTTCCGAAGTCCAGTAACCATTATAGATCTTTACAGTACTGTTGGAGTCTTTCTCCCTGGCCGTTTGTTTGAAGTAGTGTGAAACGTCAGTATTATAATTATGCTATTATTTTCTCTTCATTCTTCGTGCGCTATCCGTTTTAGTTGTTACCATTGTTGAAAGTCTTCAAGTATTTAGTTTAGGAATCAGTACATGTGGTAAACCCGTCTGCTGTAACCTCAACTGCATTCATTTTGTTAAGTATAATTCTTTGGCATCTGTTGCTCTTTAGTCTTTCTCTCTTTTTTTGCGAATAAAAAAAAGAAGAAAAAAAATGCGACGTCAATTGCTTGTAAGTAACGAAGGGAAAGAAGGAAACGGTGCTCAGATTAACGCAGAAAGAAAATAAAAAAAGAAAATAAAAATAGAAAATAAAATACGGACCGGAAGGAAATTGAAGTCCTTGACTGGGAGTCTAATTTCAAGATGACATGTTTCCGTCTCTAAAAGTTGAACAAAAAAAAAAAAAAAAAATGAATTAAAAAAAAAGGTTACTATTCAGGCGCGACATTACAAGATCTTTTTTTTTTCTTTCAACTATACAAACCAGAAGAATAAGTTTCACTAGATTTCTCCCCTTCTAAATCCAGATTTTTAAACACAACTTCTGTTGAATTTTTTTTCTTCTGATTTTGCTGACGTAGCGGACATCTTTGTTTAAATATACACTTCCGTTTTAGATCTGATAAGAAACAACAGGTGAAAAATGTACAGCACCATCGCCAGACTTAAATAATTCAAAATGCTTCTTTCATTCGTTCATAATGTTGATTAATTATCGACGATTGCTGAACTTATCTTACCTTAAGCAAGTTCATAATGTTGATTAATTATCGACGATTGCTGCTTATCTTAATACTAAGCAAGGCTATTAAAGTGAAGTATTCATCGAAGATCGAAGTTTCCTGGGGTTTTAAGTTAAAAAATATGCGTTGTGGGTTCCTACAGAAAACTCCAAAACCTCCCACAGAAGATAGCGAAGGAAAGCGAGAAGAAAGGACTAATGATAAACTACAAAAAGATAGAATACATAGTGATCAGCAAGAGGATGAGCTCTAAATACAAATTGCATGCTGGGAATACTAAAATCAAGCAGGTACAGAGATTTATATATCTGGAAGGTATTCTAACACAGGACGGAAAGTTTGACACTGAGATCGGAAGACGTATTGGGATGACGAAAGATGTCTTCGAAAAGCTCAGCAGAGTATTATGACACAGGGAAGTTACGTTGGAAACAAAGAAAAAAGTACTGTTACGTGATATCTGCCTTCTTGTATGGCTGCGAATACCGGACAGTCTCCTCAAAGATGAAGAAGAGACTTGAAGCAAGAGAAATATGGTTCTACAGAAAGATGTTGAGGATACCATGAACATGTGAGCAACGATGAGGTTTTGGAGCGAATGGAAAGAAAATTGAAACTCATACATAACACCAGGAGGAGCAATTACCATGAAAGTATTTATTGAAAAGGCAGAGGGGGTGGGGGCTACTTTAATGCAGTGAGAAAGTGACTAAAGCCGAGATGCCAGGTCAGAACGAGTATTGAAAATTTTATCATTTACGCTTAAGCATAACCGTTTATTCTACAAAAACAGAAAGGAAAACGAGAAACAATTGAAAACAAGATTATATTTCAAAATGGGAAACATACAAATTGAAATTCGTAATAAAAGTGTATATAATTGTTAGCTACAAGTGGAGAAGACATTTAGTTCAACTTACTGTGTTGTTAAGTGGGTAGTTGGGTAACAAGTACATAAAAACTGTATGCAGTGTAACACACCCCACAGATTTGTAGTTGGCTGCGCGAAGTTTATGCACAAAGTGCACGAGTTTTTTTTGTTTTTGTTTTTTTACATGTTTTAAGGTAAGTAAGGAAAATTTAGAACCTACTGGTTTCGAGAAACTAATTCATTAACCCTAACATGTCAAATGCCTCTTTCAACATAATTATCAAAATTTTCCCGTTTCCTGTTTCCTGTTACTTTGCTCAGTTTTTTAAGAGCATCTTTCGCTGTTCCGGTACGTCTTCTGATTTCGGGGTCGCATTTCCATCGTCCGTAACAAAACTACCCAAGTAGTTTTAATTTTCCAATTCGTACTTGGCTTACGATCACCGAAGTTAAGCAACATCGAGCATGGTCAGTAGCTAGAAGGTAATACCAGGTGCTGTAGGCTTGGATGTGAGGGTTGTGTAATGGACAACGACTTGGAAATCGGAGGACTCGAGTTCCAATTCCCATCGGGTTCGTTATATTCACTTATGTATGTATCCACCACTTCTTCCCCTCAGCTATGGGTTAATGAGTAGAACGTGTATCAATGAAAACATCATCATCTCCAGTATTCTTTCAATCTACAGTATTTACTGGCTTTAAGCAACCTGCAAAAGGTTGATAGGTCGTGAAAAACAAATCAATTCGCAGTTCGCATCTTAGGCTATCCCTCTTACCATATATTCTGTTTTCTTGCACGTGATGACGAGTTCTTCATTCGATTGAACGTGGCATCGTTTAATTTCGTCGAGTGGGTGTTACAGCGTCGCTGATAAGTGTGTTGTTTACAAACATAACTACTTGACTCAGTGCCAACATCGTAGAATTTCGTTCTGTCATTAACTAAAAAAGAGCTTTCTTTTTTTTTTCTTTGAGAGACAGGTGCGTGGGTTGTCGATTCGAGTATTATGTTGAAGAGAGATCTTGAATACGGCTTTCTTGGACGAACATTGCATCATTGCAGCTGGAGAAAAAAGAGCTAACTGCAAACACAGATTATATGAAACAACGAAGAGTCTAGAATTAAGCTTTGGTCAAGTTTAAAAACGACAGCGATGTAGTTATGTCGACGAATGTAAATGTAACCTTGCCGGCGTGCATTATTATTGAGAACACGGAACTTAATTTCTCATGCGCCAGTTCGATGCTCAATGGGTGCTCCATATGTTCGGCCATGTGCCACATGTTAGCCACGGTTACTAAACCGGGGTAATTCGACGTGGTGTAACCGTAAGAAAGGTTGTCTCGCTAGATCAGTGGTTCTAATTTTTTTTTTCTCTGGGACGCATTTCCGGAATTAAAATTTGCTCATGCCTCATTAAATTTTATGTGATAAAAAATTCATTTATAAATAAAAACAAACAGAGAGTGGGTTAAAGGGAGATAACTGCGGATTTGAAGTCAGAATATTATCATTGATAACTCTTTTCTACAATTTGAGGACCCTAGTTACTATATTTTTATTTTTTTACTTGGCATAATGCAAAAATATCACAATGATAAAATTAGTCAATAATTATTTGTAACAATTTATACTGGGACGCATGCGCGCAATTACAAGTAATCCATAATAATATTTGAGATTTTGAAATCAATTTTATTTTTGGCATATGAATTTTTAAAAACTCTTTCTAAATCCTTGATTGTCTTTCAATCATTCCGCCTCACCGGCTATCCCCTTCCGCCGCACATATAAGGCGCCCCCCCTACCGTTTGGGAACCACTGCGCTAGATAAATTACGACTGAATAGTGAGTTCGATTCTCACTGGTTACTCCATACTTTCGGCCTTGCGACACGCCAAAGTTACACCAAGAAAATCTCTTTTATTCTCACTTACATATCATTTTTCTTCTTCTATATTTGCGTCCGTTCAGGGTATAGACGATCATAGCTCTCCACAACATTCTATCTTGTGTGGGACTTAGCAGTTTTTCTCCCTTTG